ACAAATGTAAACTCATCGTTCAGTAGAAGTTGAACCGTAAGTACTTACAGAAGAAATGAAAAAAACAAAATGCAAAGGAGGATATAAGACAGAAACTAGTGCCACTGCATCAGCATTGCATTTTGGAATGAGTGCATCAGGGACTAGGGGCTGCTCCTTGGAGAGGCCCTCCGTCCAGAATCTTTAGATTCTAACCAGCACGAGCTGTTCTTCGCCATAATTTTCCACATCCACGACCACAGACACAAAAGAACGAGCTGGAAGAAGCCCTGGTGAGAAAGGTCAGGAAGTCCGGTGGGAAGCGGGTCAAGTGGGAAGGGAAATGGCAACTCGGTGTCATTTTCAATGAACTTGAAAAAGCGAAGGGGAGAAAAGTAATCTTTAGCGTTGAGAAGGAGAGGTTATCTCTGAAAGGTGGATTTATCATGGGTTTCCTTCTTCCTCTCCTTTATTTTTTTCACCCACTACTCCATTATCCTGTCAGCTGGTACCACAGGCTCTCCCAGAACCCTCCATCACGTCTCTCCTGACGTCTCCAGGAAGTCCTTGTGGAACCTGGGCGCTCCCCTCACCGCAAATCCAGAGCCTCTCAGGTCCCAGAGCACTCTCCTCACTTGGCTGATGGATGGACAGGTGGCTCCCCATGATGCCTGATGCCAGGCCCTCGATTCCAGCTCAGCTCAGTTGCCTCCTCCTGGACTCCATACCTCTTAATAATTCATACATACCCCTTTCCATGCATCTGAGAAAATGCCCTTCCTCCAGGATGCTTTCTGCTTACTTTCTCCACACACTAGCATTGACTGCCTATTCTCTCTACCAGTGTTACAGGCTCTGTCTTATGTCTCCCCAGGAGAGGGGACATTTCTGAAAGGCAGGAGTCCCTCTAGTAATGACTTTCTTTACAACAGATTTTTTTTTTTGTTTTGCTTCAAAATTATTTCAGCTAAAATGTGTTGAGCCTCATAGATCCTTCTTCAAATACTAAGAGGTGTGGCACCACCACTTTATAAATGGGGAAGTTTTAAAATGCCAACAGCCTCATGGACATTAATAGTGTAAGTAAGAGCCCAACAGCTCTACCTCAAAGGCTAGTTTTTTTTTTAATGTGTTTAATGTTTATTTATTTTTGAGAGAGAGAGAGAGACAGAGAGAGCGAGCGAGCAGGGGAGGGGCAGAGAGGAGGAGACACAGAATCCAAAGCAGACTCCAGGCTCTGAGCTGTCAGCACAGAGCCCAACTCAGGGCTCAAACTCACAAACCTAGAGATCATGACCTGAACTGAAGTCGGACACTTAACATACTGAGCTACCCAGGCACCCCTCAAAGGCTAGTTTTCCACCACATTTCTCTGTTCACAGAGCCTAAAGAGACAGGCGGGCCCATCTCTGCAGCCTCCACTTGCACACCTCAGCAGCCACCTCTTGCTGACAATGTCCTTCCAACCTACTTCCCCTCAGTCTAGATATTGTGTTCAGGAAAACACTCGTTCCCTCCTCCTCTACCTGCCTATTGTTGCTAGTTCCTTGACCAAGGAGTCCAGCCTCCTCCCTTTAGTCAATTAGAGGCTGTCCTCTGCACATCTGTATAGGGAATGTTTTGTTTTAGGAAATCAATAGAGCCGCCAATTTCTCATCAGAGCCTTCCAGCATTTCTGGAGGAACAAAGTTCCCTCTCCCTCCCTGCTCTTTGTAAGTGCTTATGAGAGGAGAAATAAACAAAGCAAAATCCTAAAACTGCTACTTTTTAAGCCATTTGTGTTTGTTTGCTTGAAAAAGCAGGATCCTTGTATTTTTCACAAGAGAAATTGTATACAGAACTCAAACTTACAGAACAAAACCAAACTATTCCAATCAAAGTGCAGTCAGAAGTCTTGGGCCTCTCTCCAAGCCTTCCCTTCTTGGCCTCTCCCCCTACTATGGCTCCCAGAGTTTGAAAAGCAACCCCACAGATCCCTGGGGTTCCATTATAAACTGTTGAAAAAACAGAACAGAACGTAAAAATAACTACCTTTATCTCATTAGCGATTTTCCTCTGATACACACGTGAGCTGATTTCTTTCGTCTCTGAGCAGAGCCTCTAAACCAAGAATTCTCCTATTTTTAAAGATCTGGAGAAACTTAACACCAGGCCTGATGACACCTCCCACTGTTCATTATTTTCAGCAAGGAAAATCCTGAATCCCCGCAGCCTACGTTTACGCCTGTGCCAAAAGCACTAGCAACTCGGCTCTAGGAAGCACGGGCCGTTATCTTGTAGTCCTAGGGCATGGAACAGTGCACACCAGGGGCACCTGGGTGGCTCAGTCATCGTCTGACTGACTTTGGCTCAGATCATGATCTCACAGTTCGATTTGTGATTTTGAGCCTCGTTCTAGGTAAAAACATGAGCCCCACTTCAGGTGAGCCCCGTTTCTCTCTCTCTCTCCCTCTTTCTACCTCTTGTAGAATTTTTTTCTCTCTCTCTCTTTCTCTCTTTCCTTAGCTCACTTGTGCCCTCTCTCTCTCTCTCTCTTAAAAAAAAAAAACAGTGCTCACCAAACACACAGTGAATGCTCAAGGAACTTTTTTGTTAAATGGGTCAAAATCTTTATCAAAACCTCTGAAAGTACAAACCATTCTTATATCTGCCCAGCCCTTCTTTTCTCTGGGTTGAAAGGAAAAAAAAAAAAAAAGAAAAAGAAAACATATTTTATTTTACTGACAACTCCCTCAGATATTTGGGTTTTCATTAGCCATCCTTTATATTAATCAATACCCTATCCTCATATTTTCCAAATCTAACCAGATTTATTCTTTCAGCAAATAGTTAATAAGCACCTAATATGTACCCGATGCTGTTTAGTATGAGGGAAACAGAAAAAAATGATAGAGACACAGTTCCTGCCTCTCAGGACTGTGGGGAGGAGAGAGCCCAGGAATCATACAAACTGGCGAAATAGCTACCACAGGCTCCTGGGGCCTAAGAGTTACGAAACCCCCTCCCCATGGTTTCTATATGCTATTTTTATATTCCTACATGGGCACCACACGATTTCATGTGACATGCTAAGTGATCTGGCCCCACACAGATTGCAAAACATTAGTTGAGAGTGTGAAGTCACTGCCTTGCTGTAAAGTCTGGCTCTATTATTTATTGCCTGTGTGTGTTTAGACAGGTTCCTTAAACTCTCTGTTTCTCAGTTTTCTCTTCTGCGAAGTGTTGATTATAAGAAGATTAAATTAAACAAGCCTGTCAACTGCTGAGAACAGTTTCTGGCATGGAGTGAATATCCAAGAACTGTGAGCTTGTTTCCATGCTGGTCCAGGGGAATTACAGGACAGCTTGGACTTTTGAATGGGTGAACTCACACACATTGCCGTGCCCTACTCCACCACCATGCACTAGATGTCTTTGTGCTCTTCAGTCCACTAAACCCTTGGTTCTGTCATTCTGTCATGTTAAATCCAAAAGGACACTCTCTAAAACCCCAGCCTCCCTAGCTCTGGCCGAGAGGATTTTTATTATAAGTCAGTGTCTCTTTTAAGCAGAACAATTAGAAGGAGAGTAGTCAAGGCCCCACTTCGCTTTCTGGTGGTCTTGAGGTCCTTTAAGGGAGATGGGAAGTATAAACATCCAAATACGGAGAATAGCAGTGAAGCTTAATGAAATACATCTTGACGCTCTGTCTCTGAAACCTCCCTCCTCTGGTAATTCCTGAGCATAGTCTCTATTACACAGTAGATACTACACGCCTCTTGAAATTCAACACTGATGATAGTTTGTTAACATAGGAAAGTCTTTAGCTAAACAATATTTTTATCTCATGGCATTGTGCTTCTCTGAGTTTTGCTCTTCCTCAGGTGTGACTCAGTGGTAACTTTCTGTGCACACTGATATGAGAAAGTCACAGTCCTTTGGTTAGCTATCAAATTACCCCAAGTGCAAAGCACTCAGAGGCAAGCCATTAAAATTCCATGAAACAAGAGGATGTGAAAAGATCTTAGAGAATGATTTGGGCTGATTTTTTTTTGTTTGTTTTTAAGCTAATGAAGAAACCAAGGCTCAGAAAAGGCAAGTGACTTAACCAAGGCCAGCACTAGACTTGAAAATACCCAAAATAGAGTCACTTGTGCTAAACCCCACATCAGCAAACCAAGACTTAGTACCTAACCTACCTTCAGTCTCAATGCACCTAGGACTGTAACCTTTAACCAGACAGCCTGGAATTACCTGCTCAGCCCTCGTGAGGTAATCTCCCCCACAGGTCCTTTCGATCCATTTAGAAGGAGAGGGAGGGAGGCAAACCATGAGAGACTCTTGAATGCTGAGAACAAACTGAGGACTAGTGGGTGTGGGAGGGAGGGGGGAGATGGGCATGGAGGAGGGCACTTGTGGGGATGAGCACTGGGTATTATATGGAAACCAACTTGACAATAAACTATTTTAAAAAAAAAGAAGGAGAACATTGCCTGAAACGATACGTTCTTTGCTAATAATATCCTTTTCTGGCCCCCTTTCCACCTTTAAAAACTTTTTCTTCTCTACAGATTGGTGGAGCTCTTTTCTATTGCTAGATGGGATGCTTCCCAACTCATGAATCACCAAATAATGCCAGTCTACTCTTTACATGTACTCAGATGAATTTTTGTTGTTTAACACAACCTGATCCTGAAATGACAGGTGACAGGAGTTAGGAGAGTCCTATCGTCTCCAAAATCCATCATGATCTATAATATGGAAGGAAAATACTTCCCAATATGCAAAATGAGGATAATGAGAAAGCTGTGATAAGAATTAAATGAGATGATGCATTTAAACATTTTAGCTCAGGGTCTGGCACATTCAAATGCAGTCACCTATGTCAGACCCAAGGTAAGATGCTTCCACAGATGGTACCACATAGTACCATCACCTATCTATACCACTCTGCTGAGTTCTGTAACTTCCCTTCTTTGTTGCTTAGCAAGTCTTTAACTCAGTCTGCAAAGCAAACTTTTTTTTTTTTTTACAGGAAGCAGCATTTATTGGTGGGCAAAAATGGGGAGGGCACTGCTGAGGCTCTCATGAGTGCAGAGCCCGCCATTTGTCCAAGGGGCCACGATTAGGGATGTATTTGACCCCACAGCCATCTGGGATGAGCCGCTTTTCAGCCACCATGTCTTCAAACTTGTTGGCATTAAATTTAGTAAAGCCCCACTTCTTGGAAATGTGGATTTTCTGGCGGCCAGGGAATTTGAAATTGGCCCTACGCGGGGCCTCAATCACATGCTCCTTGTTCTGCAACTTGGTACGAATGGACATGATGACCTGGCCAATGTGGACCCTGGCCACTGTGCCCTGGGGCTTTCCAAAGGCACCCTGCATGACTGTCTGGAGCCTAGATTGGAGAAAGCATGAGGTCAGACCTCAATGTCCACCAGAAAAAGCTGTCTCCAAGGTCCCTTAGGGCAACCCGTACAATCAACAGGCTGCATACACTACCAAGGAGGCTGCTGTGTGCAGCCATTGCACACCGGGACCCATGGGGAAAAGGCACAGTTGGCTTAGTTGGCTGCAGAAAAGCAACCATTTTTTTAAGCCCATACTATGTGTCAGGTGCTAAGATGAATCAGAAGTAGTCTCTGCCCAGTGCTCACAGATGGTAACACAACATCACTCTGCAGTGTAAGACCCTATAAGAGGGAGACTCCAGGTTGCTCTGTGTGGTGGACATTAGAAGTGCTCAAGCGCACTCTGCCTGTCCACCACCAGGACGTTTAACAGCATGGCACTTCCCATCCCCATCTCCTGGCCAGTGAAACGGAGCAGAAGACACTAATTTCACTAATGTGTGATTCATCTGCATTTATCTCTAGCATGTTTGAGCAGCCACGTTGGGCTGGGGGTTCCTCCATCAGCCTAATCCCCACTGACCAACAATGCCTATGTGTGTAAGCAAGAAATAAACTGTGTTGTTTAAGCCACTGAGATTTTAAGTGTCACCACATTAATCTAACTTACCCTGGCTGGTCCACTCTAGAATGATGAAGATGAGAGATCCCTTGTTGTTACTGTTTCCCTCTTAGTTCCTCATCTACAGTCCCCAGCCAATCTTTCCTACTCACATCACACTAGACCCTGGCTGCTTTTTTCTTCTAACATTAAAGCATTTGCCAGCCTGGAACTCTCATCTCCTCCCCAACACTTGACCCTTTTTAGACTAATAAATGACCCCTGAATGAAGGGCAAATAAGCAGCCCCAAACATCCCCCTCTGCTCCTCCCCACGACCTGCCTCCCGGCTCCCGCCTAACTAGCAATAGGAGAAACAATTGTGTTTTAATAAAGAAAATTGATTTACCTTTTCAGCATTTTAACAAATGGCAGTGCACACAGATCTCTAAAGATTTATGCCCACAATTTGCAAAATTATTTCTCTATCGATCAGCACAGGTTTGTTTTTCATGGGCTCAGTCAATTAAGCAGTAACATTCAGGTGGGTAAATGAGTCAAGGCTATGAAGTCCCTGGTGAGGACAGAAGTTTGTTGTATTCTGTGACTGAAGGATGTCAGATGTGTAGGAAAGACACCCGGGACCTTATAGGGCAGACATAGAAGGCACTGGGAAGTCTGGGAAGCAGGTGGCATGCTGGTGGCAAGAAGGGAAAGACTAGTGCCCAGGTGCCAGACTGTTTGAAGTTAGAATACCACACTGGTGGTGATTTTGACAGCTCGATCCCACAAGATAGATGGTCAGCCTGGATACCTCAGTGTCACAAGAGAAAAGACATGCTGAGGATGGGGTCAGAGTCAGGCTATATAAGCAGCCTCATGGATGCCATCTTAGCATGTCTGCCCTTACTCTGGCATACATACCTCAACACCCTCCCTCACTTCCCTGGTTCTTGAAAGTAGCCCAGCAAGTGGGTCCTGTAAAAGGCCTGCGTTTTAGAAAAAGAGCTCAGAAAGGTAACCATTAAAATATTAACAGGTGTTTTCTTGGGGTTGTAGACTAGAACTGATTTGTATATCCAGAAGACTTACCTACATTTTCTAATGTTTTGTGGTGATCACATGGTAGCTGGAGAATAGAAATAATTTTCTTTTAAAAACCCAGTCATCCAAGTAGCTCATGGTTCAGGAGGAATCTTGCACCTACATGATGTGCCCAGGGACTTGTTACACTGAAAACATTCCCTCCTACTGATTTTTACCAGCTTCATTAAAAACAAAAGTAAGAGAACAAGAAAAGAAGAAGGGAGGAAAGATGAAAAGGAAAGAAGGGAAAGAAGGAAAAAAATGCCTTGAGTACCCGCGCAGGTACTGTGCTGGGTACAGAAGATACAGGTGAATGTTAGCATCCCTGTGGTCAAGAGACTTGGTGTCTTATAGAGAGAAATGCAAACCATGGTTCAGGCTCCTTGGTCAAACTGTGAATAAGGGAAGAGGGAAGCTGTGGATCCTGCAAGAAAGGGAGTCAGGGACAAGAGTAAAAAAAGATATCTTTAAAATGGTGACATTTGGGGCGCCTGGGTGGCTTAGTCGGTTAAGCGTCCGACTTTCACTTAGGTCATGATCTCACGGTTCGTGGGTTCGAGCCCCGCGTCGGGCTCTGTGCTGACTGCCAGCTCGGAGCCTGGAGCCTGTTTCAGTCTGTGACTCCCTCTCTGACCCTCCCCTGCTCACTCTGTCTCTCTCTCTCCTAGAAATAAATAAAACATTTAAAAATAAAATAAAATGGTGACATTTGAACAGGAGACCTGGTGCAAAAAGGGGATAACAACATTAGAGGATTACTCACCCGTTCTGTTGGGGGGGAGATTCTTAAGAATGAAATTTTCCAAGCTCAAGAAAAGGATGAGGCTTTAATGTGGAATTCCAGGCCCTGAGCCAAGGGGCAGGTAGGTATCTTGGCAAAGACATGTGAAGAGTGCCTAAAGCCAAGCCTGCTAAGAGGTACCTGATCTGCATCAAGAGGAGAACAATCTCATTAATCAGAGGGGAGGAGTAGTCATTACCTGTCAAAGCAGGAAAATTACTGCATTTCCAAAGGGATACTGGATGTCATGCTTTCTATTTTTGCCATGTACCCTTCTATTTTTCTGTTCCTAACACCAAGACTCATCCTCCATTTGGAAGAAGAAAAGCAAAGTCACTCACAGCAAATCACTTTTTCAGTGGGAAGACATTCCTCTCTTATGAGCAAATATGGACAGTGTGTTATTCTAGGAACTCTTCGTCTCTGTGTAGTCACTTGTGTGGTTCGGTGATATTTGTTCTTTCAATCATCCAACAAGTATTTCATGTCTTGGTTCAACAAATATTTATCTGAAGACATGTTTAATGAATACTTTGTTTCTATGTAGTCTATACAATTCAATCCCCTCCAAATGGCTTCCATGTCAGTCAGAATAAAACCCAGAGTCCATATATTGGCCCATGAAATCTTCATGATCTGGACCCCTACGGCCTTCCTGGAATAATCTCTACCTCCCTATTTATCTCTTCCATCCCTACTGCATCAGCCACCTTGCTATTCCTCCATTCCTCAAAACTCGAATATATTTCTATTTTTCACTTGCTTACTTTTCTGCTTCTAGCAGCAAGATGTCTCCTAATCCCCAACACAGAAGACAAAAGACAGACATCTCCCATGCACCTTTCCTCAAATAGCATTCTCATGCCCCTATAGTGCCTTCAAACCTCTGTTGACATGTAACCTTGTCCAAGAGAACTTCCCTTTCCCTGACCACCCAATAGCCAGAGTACCAACTCCCCATCACTCTCCATCCTCTTTATCATGCTGTTTCCTACTTAGAATGATGGTTATAGTATATGTCCATTTGCTTAAGTATTTCTTACCTGAACTCTCCCATTATAATGAAAGCCCATGAGAGGAGAGACTTTGTTCATCATTGTATACCCAGTGTCTAGCATTGCCCTACCATATAGTAGCTGCTCAGTAAATATTTGTTCAGTGAACTAACTAATGAATATGAGAATGAAGGCTGGGACTGGATGGGAGCTATGGTAATGTAGTGGGCTTCTGTGCTGCCTGCCTTTTCCATGACTGGCTCTATTCCTTCATCTAAAGGAAAGCATGCTGCTGTGTCTGCAGACTGACAATGAGATGCATCTGAGTGAGGCTCTCAGGTCTGACTACTGTCAGAGACAAGATACAGAACTAAATGATCCATTGTTGAGTTCCGGTCTGGCAGTTCCCATCTAACCTGCAAGCACCAGGTAATTGGATTGGTAATGGGATATGGAGACTTTCACCTTGAGGTCACTGCTTCACTTCTAGCCCAAGGGACAGCTCAGCTGAAAGTCATTGCTCTTGGGGAGCAGTTCCAAGACCACTGGGAAATGTCTGAATCTGAGTTCAATTCAAGTCTGGGCCCCTGTTCAAGGAGAGAGCTTGAATTCCTCTTTTTTACCCTATCTTGCAACTGTGATCCTCTAGAAGGTCATATAAGGCATTGACTTAAGGGCTCCCCAGGGCCACAGAGGAAGAGAGGAGCCCGGCTGGGTCTAGGAGTCACAGTCCTTCCTCAGAAGTGATTCCAAACTACATCCAGATGTCAGTGTCCCAGCAGGAAGTTGGGCTATAACTTTACCTTCACTGTTTGACTTTTCTTATAGCATAACCAATGGGTAGAAACCCCAGCCTAATGGTCAGATTATTCCACCTGGTCATAAACAGTGTGTGTGTATGTGTGTGTGTGTGTGTGTATGTGTGTGTGGCGGGAGGGGGGGTCTCTGAAGACAGAAAAATGTGGTTTTGAATTCTGGATTGACTTTTCCTAGTTATGTAACCCTGACCCCATCAGTTAACTTCTCTGCATTTCCCTTTTCTCATCTATAAACTGGGAATAAAAATATCCACCACGTAGTCATGTTGTGAAGGTTAGAGCTGGTATGTCTAAATCATTGAGCATAGTGTCTCGTACACAGCAGGTACTCAAGAAATTGTAGTAACTGATCCAAAGGGACCCTAGTCCCAGGAGCCAGAAAGAGATACGACCCTCCCATAGAAGTCCATTTATTTGTTGTTCATCAAATAATTACCGAGGGCCAAATAAGCAATGGGCACAGTGCTAGATACTAATAAAATTTCTAGCATGCTAATTGTAGGAGTAAAGCATGGACGCACAGAACTGCAGGCTCACTGCTTCAAGAAGCTCTTACAGAAATGAAGAAGTCGTCATATATCCATAAAACCACAGGCAAAAGGGGCCTCCTCACAGGAACAAGAAAGGTCACTGAAGTCAGGGACTATAGCCCTGAATAGAGTCAGGGAATTTACTCTTACTTACTCATCTTTGTCTGGCCCTCCTCAGGGCTTTGCATGAAGTAGATACTCAAAATATATTTGATCAATTTAAATGAGAGTGA